ATGTATGTATGTATGTATGTACGTGGAAGCGTCTCGGCCCAAGCGAATCCTATCAGGATAGAGTGCTGTGCTACATGGTCCAATGCGCAGGTCGGTTGCGGACTCTTCGTCGGTCGCATCCCGATGACGGCACTTCCACTTGCTCTCTTATGTCTTCTGACGATGCTGTTGACTCTGCGAGTGGAGGTGCTGCTGCCAGGGAGCCCAATGACTTCGACAAGGGGTTCTGGCAATCGCAGCCGCTCCGGCGACAATGACGACGAACCGTTTGGACCTGCGCCTAGCCGCAGCCACCGAAACCTGACCCAGACGAGGCCCGCCGAGCACCGCACATGGATTGGTGCATACTGCGACAAATCATTGTGCGCCTCTGCCAAGCTTACCCTCGCAGCGCCGAGCGGTACAGCTGGCCGTTCAGTAATTTTCGACGGCAAGTTAGTTGCCCAGCTTGATCTCGATGAGCTTGTGGACCATGTCGGAAAACAGCTGGATGCAGCGGAGGCCTACGACCTTCGCCAAGATGCCGCTACACTGCGCGCCATGTTGGCCCAGGCCCTTTTGTTCCAACGATGAGGCCTGGCTCCTTGCATCGGGCCGGTGGATGGACCCGCCAAAGCAGCTGGTGGTCCCACGTCTTCAGATGCACATATCTCAGAAATGGGCAGCAAGCTGCGATTCCGTAAGGCGCAGTGCCCTCGGCTTCTACCAGCCGCTGCTCTTTGCCATGTGGGTGTTCCTTTCAGGAGTGGTACGTCATGTACTCCATGCGCTGCCGCGAGCCCCCACAGCAGAATAAGCACGCCTTGGCTCTTCGTCTCGACCTCCCGGTAGCAACTGAAATAAGACTGCATGCGAGACTACGTCGCTGCCTTGCTCCACTGCAAACCTCCCCTTGCGAATACACGACCCCTCTGACCTACAGGAAGGCACTCCGAACGACATGTTGGGCCACTTCGGTCCCAATTCCGAAGGCGGTGCAGGCAGGGTTAAAGCGCTTTGACCCTTTTCTCGTCAGCGCTGAAATATGAAGTCGAAGCGCCTGGCACACGTGTCCTGTTCAACAGGTTTGCATGCTTCGGTCCCCACGCCGTTTTCCGAAACAAATCACTGTTAGCTTGCAGGCTCCTCTCGTGGTGCCGCCGAGCACTCACAAGGTGCAGAGAACTCGAGGCAGTCCACAGTATCTGTTTTATGCCACATGGTCGTGCTTGTGCTCGTGCAACCGCGGTTCTGTAGCCTCAAACACACGAAGCACTTTAGGACGTTCCATCCTATTCCAGGAGCGTGCCGGCCACTTGTAAGCTTCCATGCATCGTACAAGCATGCCGAGCTGCGATCCAATTTTACCGCTTTGACCGCTGAATGCGCAGCGAACCAAGGCTCACGAAGGTGCTTGATGAGAAAGTTCAACAGGCCTCAGATGCAGAGCCCCAGTGGCTCCCCGCTGTGTACCAACTAGTTCGCAAGTTGCCCCAGAAAGCTTTTAAACGGTCCAGACTTCCAGAAGATCGTTCGTTTTTCGGGAGACGACTCACGGGGCACGGCCAACCGGGGCCAGTAACAACAATGAGGGCGGGACAGCACTTATCGGCAATGGCCGACCAAGAAGGACTCCAGCTCCAACCGGGGCAAAGGCGACGAAGTCCAGGTTCTGCAGCAAATGGTGAACGCTTTGGCGTGGCTGACACTCCGCTTGGAAGACTCCCTGGCGATCACACAACTAGATTCCGAATTTGTCATATTCTTTCAAACGGCTGTGACACAGAATGCGTGGAGTGTGACAGACCCACTGGTTTCGAGTGGCCACCAATTGGAAGGAGCAGAAGGACGAGGCCTATGCTTGCTTGAATCGGGATCCCGAGAAGAAGCAGCACGTCAAGGCCAGTGCCCAGCCCTACAGCCATGCCAACCTCAAGACGACTGTGGACATGATGCTCCAGTTGTCCATATTCCCCAACACGGTGGGGCGGTTCCACGTGCTTCGTCGTCACACGGAGAACCTGTCGTCGGAGGTCCTCCATTTCCTCTTGACGATCCAGGGGCCCAGCAGCTCTATCTTTGCTTGCAACGCATCTCCGGGGTTGGAAGCGCCACAGACCTTGGGGCAAGTGTGCGGATGCTGAAGTCCAGCATGCATCTTCGAAGAGGCCGGCCTGAGGCCGCCGGATCGCATCGCAAACTTGGTTGCGGCGAGGGAAGAAGTATGTACGTGGGTAGGCAGGTAGGTACGGAGGTATGTATATGTACACACGAATGCATGTAGTCATGCATGTAGAGACACATTTTAATGGCTTGAAATCCGTGAGGAGTCCAACGTGCGCTCTTCGCGCTCGCATACGGTCTTTACCGTGCAGCTACCCGTCACTACAGCGGACGGTGCCGGACTCGCATGTGCAAAGGGGCACAGTCAGATGTGTAGAGCTACACTTGGGTGTCGAGGCTCTTCTTGTTTTCCGAATGTCTGTGGTGCTGTTCGGAATGCTCTCAGCCACCGCCTGCGTCCACAAGCAGGGGCTCACAGGATTACGGCTCATGCGGTCGAGGGCCACGGGTTTTGAATCCCTTTGGGGGCGCAGACTTGTGTCATGAGTGCCCTCCTGTCATTGTGGCCAACGAATACACAAATCAATTCGCTCAGCCGACCTTTCCTTCCCAGGTCTTCAAGCGTCATAAATGCATGAATAATCGCAGGTGCTTGTAGTACAGAATTCTGCCGTTTTGATGAGTTGGTGTCACCTCCCAAAAGTCTTGGCCTCAACATGCACAGGTGTGCCGACACAACTGAGCTTCGTGGATTTGGCAGGCACGGTCAGCCATGCAGCGTTCGGATATCTGAAATGGCAAGAAACTTGTGATAAGAGCAAATAGTGGCTTGGGGATGTTCATGGCAAGCTCCTGGCACCGACAGCCCCGCCTCGAACACTTCACAACATTTCACCGTGCAAGTCGTCCTGTTCATCCACACATCAGTTTAGGATATACTGATAATATCCTCTGTGTTTAGAACATAGTGTACATAATATGACATATTATATGTGTAAGTATAAATAAACAAGCATGTATATATATATATGTATATGTAGTAACAAGAATAATGCAGTTGCCTGCCCGAACCCATAAGCCTCGGAGGTTCCGAGCGATTGGCGAAATCCAAGGCGGAAGGTCAGCAGTTCCAGGAGCCAAGGGCTGCTTTGCTTCGCGTACAATATACTATATTATGCTATAGTATGTTGAACTATGCCATAGTGGTCTGTAGTGTACTCTGATAAATAAAACAAAACATGTATGTATATATATATATATCTTCGTAAACAGAAGTATGCATTAACATAGCAACCCCTTATCCACTTTAACCAAACTAGCCGTTTCGTTTCAGGTCTTCAAGTGGAACGTACAGGGAGCGCAGTGCGAGCTGCAATGTCGAAACATCACATGAAGGGCAACCTTGCCGGCATGCTGAACACCAGCTGGAGCGTCGTGAAACGGGAACATCGCATCCACTGTCTTTGATAGCTGTTTTTCTGATTGTACGATCTGACATGATGTGTATTCTAATGTGTGTGTGTGTAAACACACACCCGCATGCTTATCTACGTTACATTTGTATCTCGATAGGTGTGGCTGATTTTAAATTCTGTCCTTTTCTCTATCTCTATTTCTGTATATCTTTTTCTATACCTATACATACACTTACACATACCTATACCTGTACCTATTATAGCACGATGTGTATATCTGTATAATACAGATGTACAGATATATATATATATATACACATACATATATATGTATATGTACGTATGTACATATGTTTGCATGCATGCATGGATGTATGTATGTATGTATGTATGTATGTATGTATGCAAACATGATAACGCTGATCAATGATGCTAACATTTATATCCATTGATGCATTAATTAATCAGTCGATAAATAAGCAAGGTTCGGTATATTTATATATACGCATACATATGTATATATGTTTTTACATATGCATATATATATATACAGCTATATAAATAGACAAGCAGACGAACAGAGACATATGTAGATAGATAGATATACGGGCATATATACATACATGTGTAAAAATATATATATATATATACATACACACAGTATTGGGTTGTTTACTTCCCCAGATCTGTGTGTACACTCAACCAGGAGTGAACCTGTAGATAGATCGGTAAGCAGATAGATGGTCGCATGCACGTACTTTGACCTAGGCGAGCAGTGTCTTGGGGCTGGCTGTGGCTTCAGAGAAGGCGCACAACAGAAAATTGCGGCGGATCGTGCTTTTCAAAAAGTCTCTGGGCAGAAGGACTGTTTTGGGACCGTCTCGCCGTTTGGCTGTGGTGTGCAAAAGGAGCTGGCAAGTTTGTTGTCGGCATGGTGGTTAGAAACAGTCTTGCGCATGCTTTTTGTTTTGCGTGGAAGACTGTTCGCCTGGGTGGGGCGGTTTGAGCGCGGCAGAATGAGAACAGCAGGTTGAATCCCCAAGCCTGCTTTCCGGGCCAGGCGTTCTGGCAAGGGTTACGGATGACAACATATTGTGGCCACAAACAACAGACAACGTTGAAAACGTGCACACAACACAAGCAAAATCTGCCGTCAGAGTCATAGTGGTTTGGCGGCTGACAACCGCAGCAGCAGACATATTACTGCATGTTGACATAGAGTCTGAGAGCGGTCATGGCAGAAGCCCTCTCAGGCTTTGAGCCGCGCCTGATTCACGTAAAAGAGCCTGAAGATGCGTCCCAGCCCGGCCGAGCCCAAGAAAAGCATAATTTCGCAGGAAGCCATGGCCATCAACACTTCGCTCACGGCTTTGGGGAAGGTAGTCCTCGCCCTGGCGTCCGATCCAAAGGTAGTGTGCCTCGGACAGCAATCGGGAATATGTCTTCGGTGATGGGAGGAGGGAGCCATGACTGAAACGGAAGCATCAAAAACGAGAAGCAAAGCTTGACTATTTCGTTGTCATGCCCGACGTCAACGATTAACTTCTTCGATCATGCTTTTGCTGAGATACCAAGGAGACACGTGCCATACCGGGACTCCAAGCTTACCCGGATTTTGTCTACGTCCCTCCGCACCCAGGCCACAAGTACGATTTGAGAAAGTCTGTCACTCTATGCATTCTAGTTGATTGCACTTGCTGAGCGGGAAGGACATCCTGAGTGCGCAGACCAACCTCTTGTCAGTGAGCTCTCACTCCACCTGAGCGTGTCCAGTTTGCGACCAGGTGTCGATTCTTGCGACGATTCATCCTCGCGTGGAGGACTACGAGGACACTTCGTAACCTGCAGGATTTTTGCTGCGTCGTGGACAAGCTGAAGGGGTTGGTCATAAAGCGTTCTGTTTAGTGGGCCCCAAAGGAGTCGTTGAACACCCTCTCCTTTGCCGATCGCTGCAAGCTCCTTGGCGAAACTGTGTTCCACAGTCTGTGATTCCGGAAGTCTGGTGATCTTTCGAAGCTTACGGTCGAGCAGTTGCGGTCCCGCGAAGAGTATGTTGCACTTTCATTTTTGTTGAAATATTCCTTGTAGTCCATGGCCGATCTGTAATCTTGTTTCTGTACATTGATGTTGCAGTAGGAGCAAGAGCTCTCCGCGCGACCCTGTGATGTTCCCCTTGCTTTTCCTTCTCACCTCGGCGATTGGGCTCGTGGCCCAGGAATGTGGCGAGGCAGCCGCAAGCATGGAGCTCAGCTGTTTCTTAGAGGTTTGGCGTGAATGTTGCAGTAATACGCGCCAGGGAGCCGATGTGGAATTATGTGTGTGATACACCGTTGATCCTGACCTCGCTTATGCACTCGCAGCCCTGTGCAAGTCATGGGCACTTCATGCGATCCTGCAACTCCCTGATATATCGAGGTCAAGTACGTGACGGCTTCCGGCACCCAGAGCCTTTGCGATTGCAAATCTGTCTGGCAGTCGACAGGGTGTGGTTTGACAGCTGTCCTGAAGGGCCCACTGAGCTGAGGAAGGCCAAGATTGCGGACCTGCAGCGCCAGGTTGCTGATCTGAAGGCGGAGCCTAGCAATAAGGGTTGTAGGGAGGCTTTAGAACAACTTCAGGACCGACAAGTCTTGTGGTGCTTGTGCTTGGAAGGAGAAGCTACGCGAGGTCCACGCAAGTCCGGGACCGAGCTCGGAATCCGGAGCCAGCATTGGGTTCATTTCTCAAGGCATGTTTCCAGTAGTTGCAAGAACATTCCAAGTTTGCGAAGCGCGAGATCTGACAAAGCCAGGCTTTGGCGGCTGCATGCGATTTGCAATCAACCTTCTGCAAGCAAAGGCCGAAAAGCTGCGAAGACTGACGATGTGGATGATGCCATTGCGCAGGCCGTGCACAACAGCGCACATGAAGCAAACTATAACTAATCGATCACTACCACATCGAAGAGCTGAGCTGACACAGGCACAGGTAGAAGTCAAAGGAGGCGTAATCTGCCTGACACGGGTCAGCGACACGTAGCCAGGCTTTGGCGCTGGCGGCGGCGCCCAGCGCCGCCCTGTCCTAAGCGATTGCAAAGCAAGGGGCCGAAAATCTTTTTCTCAGGGTGCTTTAGAGAGGACGCAGCTTCACGGCTGGCTTTGCCTACGTTTTCGTCTTACAGAGATTCTTAGCTCTCGGAGTCATTTTGCACTTTCCTTCCTGATTTCCCTGCAAGGGGGGCATGCGAACGGAGTCGATGGCGACAGACGCAGCTCAGCTGTCAACAGAGACCCAGGGCTGCTCTTGCATGACCCTCCTTGGTGAACGTATTCTTGGTGGCCCTGTGCAGGTCTCGGCCAGCGGCGGTGGCGATGGTGCAGCGGCCTGAAAAGGGCGAGAGGTCGTAGCGGGAAGACAGGGAAAGAGGCTGGCAGCTGACATCCAGTTGGTTTTTGAAGATGGGCCCCATGACACCTTCTTAAACGGATCTTCATGCCTTTCCGTCGCCCGGGCTCCGTGCTCGTGTGATGCTGCTCAGTATCCTGAGGCCCGACGAGCAGCCGACAATCCGCAGCTCAACATGCTGATGAAGCTCCAGGACTCGTCTTGCATTTTGATGTCAGGAAGGGTCGCTCCGAATTTCTTGCTGGGTGCCTTGCCGAAAGCCATCAAGAGCAGTTGTGCTCATGGACCTCTTCTGTTCAGTGCATTGCTTGGCTTCAAGAGCTGGGGCTTCCCAGTCAAACAGGCATAGGTTTGCACCAGAGTTTTCCAGCTGAAGGACCAGCGCAAGCAACAAGGACAAGCAATCCAGAAGTGCCACGCAAAGTTGGAGGCAGGTGGTCCCGGACGGTAATTGAATCGCAGCCCAAGCCTAGCTCCTGCTGAAAGGAGCTGTCGAAGAAAAAGCAGGAACTTCTGCAGTCAGATCCCCGTGACACTGAGGCACCTCTGCATGAGTTTGATTCTGCTTGATGATGAGGGTTTGCAGTCCGTCCCTGGAGGTTGGGAACAAGATATCAGTGGTTATTAGTTATCGAGTGCCGAACGTCTCTGCCATTTTGGCTCCGGTCCAGGGCACTGTCATGCACAATTACGCGGCTTGTCTTATAGAGCCTTCAAGCAGACCCTGAATTACATAGACTCCAAAGCACGAGCCCTCACCAGCTCCTCGCAGCATGCCAATCTGAAGACGCCTCCAGATGGCTGTACACTGTACAACTCCTGCAAGCAGCTCAACAGGCGCAATAGAGCTGAAGTGACCCAGACCCGAGAGGCCAGGGAATTACAGCGAGTTGTCGGGGGCCATGGCCGCAGCTGCGGTAGTCGCTGCGAGACACAACAAGAAGCAGCTTTGGCATCATGGAGTCGTTCTGCCATATGCTTGTTTCGGTCGTTGCACACCCTCAACAGAAGCATGCTCGGAGTCGGAGTGCAGCCAAGGAAGCGAGGACGGGGCCATGCTGCAGAGTGAGCGAAGTCGTGTCCAAACTGATAATGCAGGTTTGTAGTTCACCATACGGAAGCCCATACTCCAGGAGCCCGAGCATTCAGTGTCGTCAAGATCGCCCGAGCAGTAGTCTCCACCACAAGCCTGAACACGCGAATGTTCCCCTTCCCCTCCCCCCAAGACCCGGTTGGAGGGGTGTCGGCGGTTGGGAGGGTTGCAGTTCGGGGGGGAGCACGGGAGGGGGGGGGTCTCTATCCCCACGTTTTGCCATGGCTTATGACTGCAAAGCATCGCGACTGCAGGATCCCTTGATGGGGCGCTCGGCTCAGTGCCCCACAGGCTTCAGCATGATGCAATTGAGTAAGGGTTGGTTGTCCCACCAGTCGCAGCAGCGCTGTGGGCCACAGCTTGTGCTTTGCACCTGCAGTTTTACCTGTGCTCCGCAATGCGGCATTCTCTACCCTAAACCTAATTCTTGGTGTCTCCTGTTACATGTTATTTATTAGCGTGCAGGATATGCCGGCAAAGTGCCCAAATGGCACTTGACAAGTCAAAGATATCCCCGCAGGAGGGGTCCCGAATTCCTTACCCAAGCTCGCAGGAGATCACCCATTACATGTAATAGTGAGGCTGAACGCCGGCGGCGTTTCGCGCAGAAGCTTGCGGACTCTAAGCCTGCAAAATGGCGCTCATGTTCTTTCAAGGTTACAGGTTAGAAGGGTGCAGGCCTCCAGGACGGAGACTGACTGTAAAAACGAGGCTGATGCCATGCCATCAGACGAGCAGACAGAAGATAGGGCACGCAGTCTTTTCTCAGCCTAGTTCGGGGATAGTCACTTCTCCGTCGAGTGCCTCACTGCTCAGAACGACCAACGGCGAGCTGAAGAGCTTTTCGATGAGCTGGATGTCAAATGCCATGGCATCATCTCTGAGAGTCAGGTGGAGGCGTGAAGCGTTTCTGAAAATCAGCTGATGGATGGCTAAGTCTCTAGTCACAGCGGTTGCGTGTTAGCAGAGCTTCCAGTCTCTGGCTATCAGAAAACTTCAATGGAGTGCAAGTATATGTATTTATAATTGTTGTGGACGCAGCAGATTGGCAGCCGGAGGATACAGGTGTCTGTTTGGTAGCCTGAGCAGAACCGTCGTTTATTGCGCCTTTTCTCCCTGTTTGCCGCAGACCCTTCTGGCCAAGCTTTTGCGCAAGAAGCCGCCGGATGATGCAGCCCGGCATTTCCAGTCACAAAATCCGTTTATGTGTATCGATTTTGTTGGCATGCACATGTGGCTACTGGGCTTCACCGCGTGTGGCGGCCGGACGTAGCATGAGGACTCCACCAAACAAGAATCATCTAGCAACAGGCCCTTTGCGGGGAGGATTCGTGAGTGGGTGGGTTTGCACATCCGGAAAGGCACTGAGCACGTTCTGTCGAATTAGTCTGCGAGTCTGGGCGTGGGCACTCGAAGCACCTCTTGTTTTTCTTTTTCTGGTCTCCGTACACTTGCAGTTGCAACTTCTGAAAGATCTGAAAGCAGAGTTGTTCAAGCTACCAGTGCACACCTGCCGGCAGTCATCGCGTCACTTAGTGCGCTCCTTCGATGCTTCACTGTCTCCTTGTCACACCTCTTAGTATCTTCCTTTTTTCGGATATGTCTCTGGCCTCTTTTCTGCAGTGCACCAGCATGTGTACGCTTTGTGATGCATTCTGTCTGTGAATCCTCAGCTCCTTCTTGCTCTCCCTCCCGGACTCTGAATGACCCTAGGTTCATATGCCATCAACTCATCGATTGATGTATGCCTCGTGAGGTGAGGTGTAATTCACCCAATGAGGCTCGTTTCTCTACAGATCGGCATGCTTGGTGCACAAACATTCTCAGTTTGCATCTAGTGAGTCTATCTGTATGCATCTCACTCCTGGCATGTTGAGGCCATGGCATATGTCTGGCGGGAGTTGATGAAAGCGCAGAAGGTTGCCAAGCAAGCAACTGGCTTGCCGGGGTGCGTAAGTACCGCCGAAGAGGAGTTGAGGGTTTCGGCGAGCTTGAAGCGTTACGAACAAGCTACTGATTGTAGTGTTCCTCAGCATTGTGGCCAGCTTCTCCTTCTCTGTTGGCTGGAAGGCTGCATGAACCATGCTGTTCTTTGTCTTCCCAATGCCACAGAAATCTTCTCCCAAAATTGTGGTTGGTTGCGGATGGTTGTGGGTTCATTGTGGCTGCTCAAGATAACTTTCCGCGGAACCATCCGACTCCATTCGCCGAGTCTCCGTCGTTCTCGCTGCGGAGTCTGGGGCTTGGCCGGAGCCTCGGAAGGGCTTAGTCTGATGGCCTGGACCCATGCACGGTACACAGGAATTATGTGAATTTGTGTAGTTAGCCGCTATGGAAATATTGCAAGCAGCAAGCAAGTCTTCCATCCTTTGTAAGGCCTGACAGCCAGAGGGTTGTCGGATGAGTGCGCAAGGTAAGGTACCCTTTTGATTGCGTTGGGGACGCTGTAGGTGCTGCCGGCAAGTCCAAAGAAGATCAGAACCAGGCAAGCCGCCAAGCAAGACCAGATTGCGTTGTTGCATTGCCAGTGCACGGCCAGTCCAGTTCATGTCGTCCGGTGTTTTGAAGCATGCCACGCTGTAAGCTGTTGCTGTGGGCTTTGTCAACAAAAGCCAGTGTTATGCCAGGAAGCGAAGCTTGTGGATTCTGCAACGACCGAAGCAGACGAGTCGAGTGCCCAGGTGCACCAGCCTGCAGTTTGAGAATAAAAGGATTGCCGCACACTGCGTGCCGTCACGAAAGACTCCAGGTAGAACAGAGAAACTTGATGATACATGTGGCATCTTCACAGTACGTCTTCATCTGCAGCAGGCATCCCAGCCTTTGCTCAGCCAGGAGGGTGAGGCCAAGGCGCACCTTCTCGGGTTTCCGAGACAAAGCACGCTTAGCTTCGTCGCGTGTTTCATTTCTGGACCATGCATCCGAGTGAGTCGCCGGCATGTTGTGGCATGCGCAGCAGAGGCCGGCAACTCTCGAAAAAGGCCTCAATTCAACCGAAACCCCCTTGGAGGGCATGGTAATGGTACATGAGACCGTCGACCCTGTGGAGGAGGAGACCGGGAAGGATGCAGACACGGAGACCTCCTTCTCACGTGCAGCGGTGCTCTCCTTGGAATGTGACTAGGCCGATGCATGGCCCTTACCTGGCCCCAGCCCAGGTGCTCAATGTGGTGACAAAGGTTCGCAGCCAGGCGGCAGTTGGACAAAGCTTGAGGGGCTGAACATGTCTGCTTTCGAGTTGAGTGGCTGAACTTATGACAGCCAAGGATACTACCTGAGCACCTGAGCGGCATTGCTAGCATCGTCGTGTCTGAGCCAGTCCTGGAAACCAAGACCGGGATCCCGAATCCAAGATAGCTGAGTGGCGGACCCCTCTTGCCCCCCTTCTTCTGCTTCCTGCTTTCCTGCACGTGCACCATGTGCAGCAAGGCAGGTAGTCATGTAGCAGCGTTCTAGATTCCTGGGCTTCGTGCGACAGGTCGTCTGCAACGAGTAAGAAATTTGTTGAGCCAGCTGTGTCTCTGCCACGCGAAACAAAGGTCACGCAAACGATGTTGAGGAAATCTATCGCCGGCTTCTTGCCTTGACATGAATGAGTTTATGGTTATATCTATCCTAGTGTCTCAAGACAAGATTCGAAAGTAGAATCATTCATCCTGTCGTCGCTACTCGTTCTTCCATCCTATGTCTCCAAAGCCAAATCGCATCGGCATTGGACCGCGCTCACACGGTTTTCACCAATGCATTCTCTACAGTGGGGAGTTTGTGAGAATCTGCTAGGCTGTTGTGGGGGAGCATGCTGAGATGAACCCGCAGGTTCGATTCGGATCATGACGATTACCTCGATGCCAAAGAGTTGCAGCAAGCGCTGTGCCACAGCATTGATTTAGTCTGGCATGCTTCCAGCCATGAAGCAGCAAGAGTTAGAATACCAGGACACTAGAGCAGTCGTTGCGGCTCGTGAGCCAGTTTGCCGGTAGCGAGCCTGCATGCATCTTTCTCTAAGAAGGCTTCGACAGAGTGTTCATCCATCTACTTGTAGCGGCATGCTCCAAACTCAGGCAGTACATCGAAGATGCTTGGCTGCAGCATCGTTGCAACCATATGCCACCATGGCGCCCAGCGAAGGACAAGTCACAACCTATTCTCAGCATTTTTCTCTCGCTGGAGAGGGGCCAGTTGATAACCTGAGAGGGGTCGCCTACACCGTCGCGGCCAGAAAGCCCAAGCAAGAGTCGTTTGGTGTGGTTGTGGATTGTCTGGGAAGAGAGCCGGAGCATGAACCTGCAGGTGCTTTCGAGCGAACAGTCGCTTCTGCATCTTTTAGTGAGTGCCTGATGTTGTGTATCTTTATATATTGAGATGCTACGGGCTGCGGGAAGCCCAGGATCGAGATGGAACAAGGGAGAAGCCTCTCGCCTGCAGGGCGTGTTTTTCAGGTTAGTGCTTGACTCCTCCTACTGCGCTCCGCCAGTTCCGCACCTTGTGCTTTGTACCAGACTTTCCGAATTCTGAAGCGCCACGCCTTTCTTTGGGCGTTGTGTGTGGGGACTACGAGCCTTTGGGGGAGCCGTGCCAGGGCACGCACGAATTCCAAGATGAAGAGAGGGGCTTGATGAGACTATCTAAGGGGTGTATAAGGGTTATATAGGGTATTTGGATTAGGGGTCCCTTCTAGGGGCCCCTCCTGTTGCAGCTGGAACCCCCTTTCGGGCATCTAAGGTACGGCATGCTTGTCGCAATCCCCGTGACATCCGAATCTCGGCATGCATGTCTGTTACGACATGGTGCATCCCGAAATCTACAAGTCACAGCAATTTACTACCTGTCCGAATCGCAGAGAAGACATGATACTGCACAATGAGTGGTGGATTGGAACAGAGCTGGGAGCCCTGGCCCAGAAGTCCTATAGACCTCCGAAGACTTGTCTCGGAAGGCCCCTAGCAGCCAAGGCCTAGGATAAGTTGTTTGCTTCAAAGCGGAAGTTCCTTTGTCCCAGGGTCCTGGGCCCAGCTTGCAGGATGATGTGCTGTGGGTGCTGGCCCAGTGCGACAGCTCCGGGAATGGCCGCATCAGCCGAGATGAGGTGCGAGCAAGGGTTGACAGTTGGCATTCTGCTCAAATCCATTCATATATATATATATATATATATTATATATATATATATATATATATTAAAAATAGTGAAATTGCCACGGTTCTGTCCTGCAGAGGTTCGTTCAGTTTTGCTCGCTGGACTGCCCCACGTGAGCACAGCGCGCAAATTGTCGGAGATGTGACGTTAGACCCTAGACTTCTGATGCCTTCGATGGTGGAAACCCAAAGAATAAAGAAGCCCGGCAATGCTGCAGCATTGATTGAGGCAATCCCGGCTATGGCCATGTGGCATGCGCTGGCGGACCGCAACTTTGATCGACAGTGGCTGGGCAGAGAAGCGCAGCTTTCCACCGCATCTTTTGGGACAGCATGCAACTGGAATCTTTTTTGGACGGAGGTGGGAGCATTGGCTCTGCACTGCTCTAATGATACCAAACGGTGGTACAACCTGTCGATGGAATAGACTTGCTGCCGAACACCAGCCTATGTTTCCGCGGCTCAGGTCACAATGCTGTGAAGTGCAGTGACCCCGCTTGAGCCCGGCCAGATTCTACCTCATGCAGCAGAGCCTAGCTCGAAAACTGCCCCCCATGCGGCAGTTGTAGAAGTACTATGCCCATCTTGCTACTGGCGACCAAGCATGCTCTCCACATCGCCGGTGCTCATGCTCATCCCACTACACGTATAATGTCACTGCAAAACTCCAAGGGATGCGGAATTTTTCGATATGAATGCGTGAGATGCGTTGGTGGCAGCTCTAAAGGCAAAGAAACTGCAAGACATGTGCATCAGGGAGAGAGCCATTCGAAGTGTGCGTGAGATGGCAGAAGGCTCTGGTGCGATTCCTGGCATCATTTTCAAACCCGGCAAGCCCGGCAGATCCTTGAAAGCTTGACAGCTACCAGCAGGAGCATGGACCATGTCGCAGTCTCCAGCTGAAAGTTTAAAGGATTTTTCTGAATCGAGTGTCTCTAAAGCATGTCCCAGCAGAGTTGATGACTCCCTTGCAAACTTGCTGCAAAGCAGCTTGAGTTTGCCATGCTGCGCTGAGCTGGCTCGGGCAGGTGCTGTTCACGGTCCATGCAAACTTTACGACCTACGGAGAATCGCTCATAGTACACCTTGCAAGCCTTGCTGCAGCTGTGCATGCTATTTGCGTCTCACCAGCTGGCCTCCGTTCATATGCCTTCTTGCAGCAGCAATGCCATCAGCAATCACCCTGCAGACCCCATGCTGGAGTGGAGAAAGGCATTTTCGGCTCCAGCTTGATTCTGCTGCAGGAACCTGTTGCAGAGGTGTAATCATGAACTTGTGAAGCAACTACACGCGAGTTCAAAGCTTGATCGCCCGCAGGTCATTAACCTGGAAAACCGTGGCCTGCTTGGCAAGGGGTGTTTGTCGGAGGGCATGTGCTTCACTGTGCCATGACACCGGCCTTCCTGCATCAACTTGCCAATCGTGTGTGAGGCAGGAATGAGATGAAGCTGGAGCTCACGAAGTTGCAGGCAGCCAAAGCTTGCAGAGCTTTGCTCGGTTGCTGTATCTTTCGCATCCATGTGCAAAGTGCCAGGAGAAGATGGACGAGTTCGTGAAGGAGTGCCAACACTGACGAGATTGTTCGCCGCAGCTTTCCTGGCACAGTGACTCACCTTCTTGGTTGACGTAGAATCGTAGAACGCACGGTGTGCAAGAAGTGTGGCTCTGCTCTTGCTTCCGTGCTTCGTGGTTGGACTCCTGCAAAGTGTTGCGGTTCTTCAGCGCTCCACACTTCGTACCGCAGTCCGCGACAGGAGAAGGCCAAGAACTTCCCAGAACAGCTGGATCGCATCCTGAATTCCAGGAGTTTGGGCGGATTTCAGTCTAAGTAAGGGCTTCGGGGCAGAGAGGGATCGTCTTGCTGCGAGAGAGTCGAAGCAACTGAAGCAACCCAGCATCTCAGTGATCTCGACGACGGCAACATCATCTTCAAAGGCCACGACGCTCTGGTGCAGGCCTGTCTGGTGTTGCGGTCTGGCACTTTAGCACCTTTTATTAAGAACCCAAAAAGCACATAAGCATAAGCATTTTATAGGGATATCCCTACCTTATTGGGCTTCATTATACGGGGGTTTATATGGGATATCCCTATCCTAATTTTTGCTTATGTGCTTTTTTGGGGCCCTATTTTACTCTGCACAACTCGCGTTCTGGGGTTGGCATTTCTTTCTGGACCACCTCCTCAATCCTGGTCGTCTGACGCCCATGACGAATATGCTATAACTCCCTCAGCACGTCCATGTCGCAGGGCCAGGCGATTGCTCCTCGAATCGCCAATGCGCTGGAGGCATTCCGCGGTAGATCCTGGCTTCCGTTCTGGTAACTCCGCTCCAACTCTGTACTTCGTGCTAGCTAAGAGTGAGGAAAGCTGGCTGAAGGCACAGCTTTATCCGAGTTTACATGCTCACTGAATTCTGGTCGTGTCGAGGGTGCAGGCAGGTCGCCTATAGTCCTGCTCCTTCGAGACTTCCTCCAGGTTCATCACCTCCATGACGTCATGCTCTAATTGTAAAGTCACCGCAAAGTTGGCGTCCAGCCTCATGGCCTCAACACTCTCTGAGTCTTGGTGGGAGGATGGCCAGAAGGACATTGAAGACCAGGGCAAAGAGGGCTTGCAGCACCTGCCTCGGGTCTACCTGCCCGCGAGGTTTTTATACATGCCTAATGCCGGCCATTTCTCTCTCACTGAGGGACCTGGTGAAGCGGCAGACGGAGGAGCTGAAGGAGGCGAAGGCCACGTGATGAGGGAAGTGCTGCCGAATTTGGGGGGTTGTCCATCCGAGTCGAAGGAGTCGGGCTGCTTGTTTAGAGGACGGCCTGACGGCTACGCTGAAGACCAAGTGCGAGACGAACCTGAACCTCATTGAGGTGCTTGAGAGTCTTCTTTCTCTATCTTGAAAACTCGGGGCTGTTGATAGTCTCGTTGGCCTTGTTTTCAGCTGATGTCATCCGGCGTCCCGGCAGTACTGGTCAGACTGACTTGCCACCCCGGCTGGCCAACCTTGCTTCAATAATCGGCCACGATGGGTAGTGATGATTTGTATGGCTAAACCTAAGCGCACTTTTTGAAGCACAGGAGTACGAGAGCATTCGACTCGCGGAGGAAGCTGGGCTCAAGGCGGCTCAGGACTGCAGTGATAGCGAGCTTGCTATGGTGGGGCTGATGCGGGTAGTAACACCGGCTGTGATCCAGCAAGCAGTCGCCAAGGCGCCACTGGCCAGCACCACGACCACAAGCACCGCGCGCCACCACCGCCACCGCCACCGCCACCACCGCCGCCACCACCGCCACCACCGCCACCACCGCCACCCACCACCACCAACACCAGCACCAGCACCAGCACCAACACCAACACCAACACCAACACCAACACCAACACCAACACCAACACCAACACCAACACCAACACCAACACCACCAACACCAACACCAACACCAACACCTACACCTACACCTACACCTACACCTACACCAACACCAACACCAGCACCAACACGAAGAATGGTAACAGCACCAATACCGTGAGACATAACCGAATGCGCCATTGGTTTTCCAGTCCAATCGGCAGGGAGGTACTGCGGCACAGCAATCACACAAGCATGGTTTTCAGCGTCCACCCCGATTAGTCAGATGTAGCCAATGTCCAGCAGCAGCAAGTGCCACGACTATGCAGAGGTGTTGGACATCATGCTAAGAGAACAGAACGTGGAACTGCGCTACAATCAGGACGAGCTGGACAGCCTCTATTCTTTGGTCTTTCGCCTTGCAACGGGCTCGGATTCTGAGGGCATGCGATGTCCTCGGTCTCAAGGTCCGCTAGACGGCTAGACGGTCTTCATATGTTTATACTTGCATCTGGATGTGAAGGATAGGATGCCAACGTGTTCGCAAGGTGTCCTGATGTTTTGGTCCTGGAGGCTTGCACAATGGATCCCGCCGCAGGTGAACCTGATTTCTGACACGGAGGAGGGTGCCTATCCGGTGATGAGGTGCAGAAGGGAAGCAATCCAGGGGATTCTGGAACAGGCAACGCCATCTCTGATTCTTTGAGTTTGTCTGTGCTTTGTGAAACCGCGTCCACATTACGCCGCCACCACCAGCCTGAGCAGAACATAGTCACAGCTGCTTGAGCAACTTCCTTGTGCAAGACTGCCTCGCCATGGCGCGAAAGAAGCTGCTCTCCTTTGCGCTTGTGCTTGGCGTCCTGATGCCGATCGGGATAAACCGGAACTTTCCACAAAAGGTCTCTTGCGCAAACGTGGTGCTTTTGGGGGTATGCCTGTCGCGCAAGTAGCAGCAATAATGAGCATGGAGGCTTGGGGATCTGAGTTTATCTGTCCACTTTGTCTTTCCTTAGTCATGATCTGGCATGGCCCGACGCTTGTTGTTGACTCAGCTCCGTATTCTTCTCTAGCCTGAAATCTGAAGGCTTTCGCCACGACGAGCTTGTGGCGAGGATCCGATGCATTCAGCTTCGGCACGGTGAGAAGAGGGCAAGTTAGACTGGCAAAGACCCGCAGTCTTTCCCAGAAAGCTGGAGGACGCGCAGCATCCACACTTTCTTACTACTTGGTTTGGTCTCCGGGAATTTGGGCAAAGACGCTGTGCTCCTTTGCAACGCTAGTCACTCTTCAGCTTGTGGGCGGCCATCTCTTCAGCGTGAGCGGCCTAGCATGTCCAGCCGGTCTTTCCCTTGTTCGGCCCATTTGGGACCTTGTCCTGCTGCCACTACTGTCGAGTGCTTGCTGCGGAATTCAGCTCGTTATCAATGCTTTGGTTGGAGCTAGTGGCTGCGCCGGGTTCAACAAATGGTTTGGCCCTCTTCGGCCCTACTTTCTCGGCTGTCTGTTCAGCACGACGGCTGTATCCATTTTCCGGAGTCACAGGAGCTTTCGATTCGTTTGGTTGCAGTGCATTCTTGCCTTCTTGCCGGAGCTCGTCCACCTTTGGAATCTGCACGGACCTCAGAGGCGGTTCGGCGCTACACCTTCACACACCGTCGAACTGAGCATTGCCAGCATGGGCTGCGTGGCCTGTATCAAGAAGGCCAGGCGACGAATTCCCCAGAAATTGGTTTCTCTTGCCTTTTTTGTTTTTTCTCTATCGCTCTCTCTCTCTCTCTCTATCTCTATTTATTGGAGGCTGCCCTCTATTACCTGTATATATATATATATCCATACATTTATGTGTATGTACACACACGGTCGCATCTGGTACCCCAAAACCCACACCCAAGCTGATCATGTACTACATCTGCATCCACCGGAAGTTCTGCCATCTGCATGGGTTCGGGTTCGCATTATCAGTTTAAGTTTTCCGTAAATCCAAAAGATTCCTGCCAGACTGGCAACACTGCAATTAGCAGTTCGCATTAACATTTTAACATGTCCAAAATCACCCACAAATCGTAGGAATCCTTTGAATATTGAGGATGCCCCAACTTGCGAAAATGTATGTGGCACCTATGAAGTCCGCTTTTTCTGCCTTGGGCAGGTGGAAAGCAGCCTCCGCGAGGTCCCGGGCGTCTTGCGCTCGGAGGCTTGGCTGGAAGATGGTGGAAGGGCTCGGGTCCAATGCAGCGTCTCGGAGACGGAGGCGACGGAGTCCCAAAAAGAGGCAGAGGCGCAGCGATACGCTGCGTTAGGATTTTATGTTCCTCAACCTCTAGAAGCCTCATAAGCCCTAAGCTGCTTTCTTCGTGCGCTTTCCCTGAAAAGGTATCTGAACTGACAGCTCGGCTTTCAAGGGCGGTTGAGCGTGCAGGTTTCGAGCCTTGCAGGGTGCTTGGCGTAAATCTGGCAGAGCCCTAGCTGGCAAAACGCCGTTCTACGACAATGCAGACCCGACGCCCAAGTACGACGGATGAAGAGCTGCAGACCACGTCGAGTGTCAAGCTCCGGATGAAGATGTGAATCATTGATGGCCCGCAAGCACTGACCGAGTCATAGAGGAGACAGAGACGCCTCAAGTTTGGTCACGAAGGAGCTGCGGGGTGTCCGATGTGGTCCTTTGCAGTCTTTGCAGGATGCGTTTGCAGCGAGAGTCGTGAGACGTCGGTGACAGGAAGATTCTCCGCGAAAATTCAGGCTCCATCAGTCAAAAGCGCCGGATTGCCAGAGGAGGGGAGAGGGATGTGGGGAGGAGCACAGGTTGCATGCCGTTGCTGTTTCGCCTCACAGCTTATTATCTTGCGAGAGTGTACATAAAACACGTAAGGAGGGCAGAAGACTACACCTGACAGTCGTGCTGGCTGCATAGTCCTGGTTGGTGGCCGGCCAGCACTGAAGATGGGCGGGAGTGTCCCGAAACAAACACCCGGTACACTACCAGTGGTTGCCCCCCCAAGACACAGTTAAGCCAGCGGCTCGAAGAGTTGAAGTGATCACAAACCGCATCACTGAAGGCTGTGTGCCTGACACGAGTAATCCGCAGCTCAACGTAAGAGGGGAGCCGTTTAGACTGTCCGAGAGCAGCTTGGGCTTGGACTTGCTGATGGCGGCAGCCTCAGAGTACGTGCAAATTAGCAGAGTTTGACGAAACCGGCTGCACGCAGTAGGCGGGGAGCGAGAGAGCGCGAGGGAGAGAGAGAGAGAGACTGAGAGACCCATAAGCCCGGCAGAAAGAACGAACAGAGAGAGCCAGTGTTACGCCTACCAAGTAGCCCATCCGGCCAAAATGGTGGATGGGGCAGCTCGACCGACCAGAGCGCGTGGACTGCCGCACTGAGCAACGCAAAGAGAGCCAGTCAGGAAAGATCGACAGACAGACATATGGATAGATTGTGATAGTGACTAGTGATATGCGCATGCGCGCACACACAAATATGTGTATAAGCAAATACACATACACATACACAAATGAGCACATACACAGACAAACATATATATATCTAGGTGGACCGTCCTTCTTCCAGTGAGGCTCTGTGCCTCTCACATGATATGCAAAAGCATGCCCTGCTGCAAGCAGTAAAGGCTGAGCTCTGTTTATTTCCTTTCCCTCTATATAGCCGAGCAAGCGGCTGCCTTTTTCACTGGATTGCCCAGGCTGTGGGCACGCCTCCTGACTCCTGTGGCACTGCAACTACTGCTGCCACTGCGTCGCTTCACCACGAGGACGGTGCCGAACAAGCCTTGAATCCCTCGGTTTTGGCCCAGATGGAAGATGCACGAAGCCTTGAGTCGTTAAATAAGCATCTACGAATCTAGTCACCACGGGAAGATTGGCCGCCTGATGTCGTGAAGAAGCAAAAAGCTTGCAACTTGAAGTTGGCCTGCACGGGCTCAATTGACGGAATCCCCTGCGCGCTTTAGCTGCTGCGCCAAAGCTTTTGGCACGTAATAGTTGAAGTTGGTAAATCAAGCCTTGTCTCAGTTTGTTACTTGAAAGACGCAGGACAGCGCATCTTCTTCGGTGGACGTCGGGCAGCCTTGCGAGACGCAGGATCATCCACATCTGAACCTGTCATGTCTTCTACTACAAGTAGTAGCATTTTCAGCCCACGTTCTCGGGATTTAGCCCTGGTGCAAATCAAGATTTGCGGTTCCAACGCTGTGCAGGCTTCTGCAGTCTCCAGTGCGACTGCCTCACGGCTGCACAAGAAGACCGCGAAGCCAACAAGTCATCAGATTCAGACCGTGCATGGTGCATGCCTGTCTGAGATCTGAGGCCTCCAAGGACAAAGCAGCCGGTCGAAGTGATATGGAGGAGCGGCAGCTCCCTTGATGATACTAGCATTTCACTCGCCTGGCTAGCTGACCGCCTGACATCGTCTGATTTGGAGGCAGTGTTCCCTGAAGTATGCGCTTGAATTGCTAGCACCTGGACCAACTGAGAGTCCTTTTCTGCAGAATATTGCATAGCAGGGTCGTGACTCTTTTGCTTCCTGCCAGACCCACGTCCGGGTCGTGGCTCGATTCAGACCCCCAGTCACGGACGAAGAGTTCAACGACCAGCCGGTCTTTTTGCTGCGTCCAGGCCAGGTGTCATTGTCGGGGAGTGTCATGTTAAATGTGGTCATGGATGAGGCGACAACTCCAATGCCATTGACAGTGGAGTGGCAGAAAATGCCACAGTGGAGTCTCAGGATGGGTCCGGGCCTTTGTTTGGAGTTTGCCTGTGTCGGGTGGGAAGGTGACATTTCTTGTAGTCTCCAAGCTCCCTCCAACAAATTACACGCGGAGCCAAGCGATGCAGTTGCCTCAAAGTCGCTGCATGTTTCAGGGCACGTGTTCATGATTTGCTTTGAGGCGATGGACCTTTGAATTCGACACAGCGTTCAGTGAAGAGGTGGGCGGGGCGAGAGCTGTGAGGTGTTTGGAGAAGTTGATGGCAAGGTGATTGCAGCGTGGCTTTACTGTAGCATCTAGATTCGAGAGCATGCTCCAAGACCGCTGGCAATCCCTAGCTGCCAGGCAAGCCAGCACGTGGTTTATGATCGAATTGGCCATCCGGCCGTGCAGGACGTTCTGGCGGGCCAGACACCCGAAAACCGGCTCCATCAGATCTCAAAATCCCAGCGACGTCTCGGCCCAGGCTACAATGGAACTATTCTGACGTACGGCCCGGTCACTCAGCCCTGGGTCAGCTGGGAGTTGAGTGGTCCTCAGCTTCGATGCCTCCCGAGTAAGGTCAGACAGGAAGTGGGAAAACCTTTACCCTCTTTGGGCCAAGCTTCACGGAGCTGGCGTCTCAGCGAAGCGCTTCATCCGGCAATGAAACTCCTAAAGACAAAGACTCGCAAGCTTGGCGCTTCCACTGGTTGTTAGGTTTTCATGCGCAGAAGAGGAAGACCTGATAGACCAAGGTAGCTAGACATTGAAATCCGAAGCTTTTGGTCTCTAGCCTCGAAATCCTAAACCCTACCCGGAACAACCTAGCGACTTCTGAGGCGGGAGCTGCGTGGCCTCGCGCCAAGAGCTGCGGAACAGCTGGTGGGGGGCTGTCAGTTATTGAGAATTGAGACAACAGGAAGCATAGAGTAACCCTATAATGTAGTAACCCTTCTTCTTACAGCACTTTCCCTAGTAACCTTAGCATTGTTGCAACCTGACCTCGGGGCTCGGAGATGTGCATCCTGCGGCCGAGAACTGTGACTTCCGCCCTTCAGAATGATTGAATATAACATGAAAATGCTATGTAATGCATTAATAGTGTTGTGTTGTACAAGCCAAAAAGATCCTTTTGGAAACCCCTTGTTAGTGGGTCCATCAGCTAGCTTGTCATGTACAGGAGTTCGAAGCTTTCTTGCAAATGTGAGCGGGAGCACAGCTGGTGGCTGGTGTGTAATGTGGGCAGCCGGATAGCTTTCACTCGCACGGAAAGCTCCTGTGGTTTTGTGGGCCATCCGTGGTTGACATACCTTGGGCAGGTGCAGGAATGCCTGGAGAGACCAAGCGATTCTTGGCTAAAGCTCGTTGGATGTGTTTGATTTCGATTGAAGGATATACAGTTGGAGGGTTTCCCCCTGTCTCACCCCAAGGTCCTGAACTAAAAAGCCTCGGTTCGAGAGTCCTAATGCCTGGGCCTGGAGCCTCCTTGTCGAAGTTGCGCATCGATATCGGGCCACTCAGGAGCTGGAGCAGGTTTCCATCTACTGCACCTTCCTTGAGCCAGAGTCCCGGACGCCGCGGGTATCCACGTGTACACGAGTGTGACGAGACTGAGTGAGTTCGGATCGTGAAGCATAAATACGTGCTTGCTTGCTGTCTTGCTCACATGTCTTTGCTCATTTGCCGCACATGCTTTCTTCCTTGCTTGTTTGCTTGCCCACTGACTTATTTACGTGACCAAATTCTTACGGACTTGCTTGCTTACTTACTTATGCTCTGCCTGACACAAGTGCTCACTTGCTTGCCTGTGCGCTTGCTTGCTCACTTGCTTGCATATCTTGCTGCTCGCTTGCTTGATTTTGTTATTTTCTTCTTTACTTGACCGACATTCGTCCTATTGCTACTTCCTGATTACATAGGTCTTATGTACACGTACGTACTTAATTGCTCACATACTTTGCTACCTCCTTCCGACTGACTTACTTTCATGTAAATGTCATACATAAGCACACAAACACACCTGCATGCATCACTCGGTCCATCCATCTATCCAACATGCATACTGTAGGAAGCAAGTATAGCGACGCGCGATCATCTGGTATACTCCAGATTGCCGTCGAAGTGGTCAGTGCCAGCAGGCGCCAGCGCGATGGATCAACTCATTTCCCAAAATGGCAGACCGGCCAACTCAGGATTTACCGGGAGAGGATGCGAGACTTACTCCATCCGTCCAACCAGAGCCGGAGCCTCAGCCAAGGCGCTCCATTAAATGAGTTTTGCAAAGTACTACTTGCTACTGCCTGCAAATGCATGAAGGCTGCATTCAGGACGCTGGGATGCTAGTTCAAGGCTGAACGTTCCTGGCCTGCGCCGTGCCTTTGAGGTCTACGGATCAAGGAGATACCCCAGAGGGGCTTGATCGTAGATGGCTTGACACAGGACCACGGTTGTGCGGGCTGCGGGGCAGCTGTTCATGCTTCCATCGCCGTAGTTAGGATTACAACAGTGTGGTTGGACCGCCTCCTTGGCAACGTAGGTCTGCGCTTGAAACTTTGCGGTCTAATTCTGTTGTTTTTGGTCTCGCGTTTGTGCGACGGTGAGAGTGCGAGTGTCCTGGGCACAGTTTATGAAGCAAGTCATTGCCGTGTCATTTTGCCATCTCCGAACCATGGCCAAGCCAAGCTAACAGATCTCCCATCATTAACACCTCGGCCTGACAGGACGAAATCAGCAGCACCAAGGATGTTTTCAAAGCACTCAATGCAGGCAATGCATGGCGCTCTGTCGTGACGAGCTCAGATACCATTACATCTGTGTGCAACTCACCCTTGTGCTCACCGTGTAGTCCCCCGGCTGCCTTTTGCTGCAACGCTATTGGTTGCATTTGCCGAAGCATGTCTGCTTTGGCCAGGTCCCTTTGTTTGCAAGCTTATTATCTTGCTTCACATCTTCTGAACTGAGCTCGATCTCTGAAGGCCGCTACGAGGCAGAATCAATACTCTTCGAGGTCCCGACCTCAAGTACATAGTGCGCAGCAGCACCTCTAGTCAGAGACTTTCATCACTGGATCACGACTCGCAGCCACCTCTCGTTCAGTTGATCTATAGTTGAGCTCAGGTCACACGCCATCTTTACCATTTACGCTGCGACCTTATGTTCAAAGCACCGGTGTTTTTTCAAAAGGGGGACTTGCCTTTTCGCCGAACCTTCTTGGGCCACTCCATGCACTCCTGTGTTGGACCCGAGGTTTCCCGCCGCTGCGCCTCGGGGAGCAACGTGCGGGAGGTGAGAACCAGCCTGATGTCCTCCTTTGAGCACGACTTCCTGCAGCTTTACCTTTTCAAACCCTCGAAGCCATGACGGCAGAGCATTATATGGACCCTGGAGCACAACGGTCATTCGGACGTTTTGACGAGCCTCACCTTTGCGCATATCGAGATCTGATCTGTTTATCTGTGTATAATACGCACATACATGTCCGTCTCCAAAACCACAGATGTGTATGTATATATATATATATACACACGTGTGACTCGCACAAACATGTGTGTATACATGTATGTACACATCATGTTTGTATTTAATTTATATATTTTGTGCACATAAGATACATGTCTACCCACGTTTAGAAATACTTTGCAATCGCATGCAGAGGTAGATGCACATGGAACTATGTGTAGAGGCATCCGTAGGATAAACTCGTAGCAGAATGTATGTTGTGAGCAGTGACTTCAAGCGACGCCGCTCTCTTGTGTAGCTTTTGTGGGTCACAGGACGATCTTAGTGTGGCCCTTCCACTCGGGTGCTCCTTTGATGCAGGCTTCGCTGCATTGAGAGGGGGACTTACATGTCCCGCCGTGCTCGTGGTGACGGCCACAGCCGGCGGTCCGAGGACAAGGGTTTGGCCGGCATAGAGCTTCACGATGGAGCCACCATGGGTGAATTACAGTTTCGGTCAGCTGCCGGGGCTGAGTTCGACCACTTGGTTTTTGAGGTCTTAGGAGATCGCTTCGAGAAACTGGGCTTGGCAATTGGTGAGGTGACTGCAAAGTACGAGGTGAACAGTGATGGGATGTTCGTTGATTTGGCTTATCGGGGAACGGACAGCTCTTATTATCAGTGGTACATTGATAATTAGGGAAAGGCGGGTGGGTTGCCTGCTGATCCTTACCACCACCTTTGCCGTCGGCATGCCTCCCGTTGTTGCAAGAATTTTGCCATGAAGGATGTTGTTCATGTGCAGAAGTGGGCCCCGATTTCGAGGAACTCAGCCAGCGATCTTTTGGAGACTTGGGGGTGTCCTAAGCTGCCTCCTTTGCGAGTGGCGTCGTCGAGGCCAGATGCCGCTCCCAACAAGGACCGCCGTGATGCAAGACAGGGCGCCGTGCAGGCTCTTCCGGCCCCTAAGGCCGAAAAGATAGAGGATGAGGAAGAATTTGAAGAGGAGGAGCCGGAGGCACCACAACCGATGACCAAGCGTCGGAAGAAAGCCCTGCCCCAAGGAAGGCGGCAAGCTACAGCGCTCAATGCCATGCTCGAGGACACTTTGGAGGACCCGACAGGGGAGAGCAGAGACAACAAAGTGGAGAAGAAACTGGGCCAGCTTAGGGCGAAGCTCTTGGGGAAGAAGGCGGAGATCAAGGGCAAGGAGCCAGGCTCAGTGTTGGCTGGGCGTGCCATGGAAGCTGCCGAGAAGGGCAAGCCAAAGAAAACCAAGAGGGCGGACCCAGTGGTTCGGTCGATCCAGAAAGCTTTGGTGAAATCTCACCGGAGCCGTGGATCAAAGGAGGAAGCCTCCTCTGAGGACAGCGAGGCGGAAGCCGAAGACGAGGATGACGAGTTGGACTTTGGTGGCGGCGGCGGCTGGGAACAGAGGCGCCGCAAGCTTCGAAAAGTTGCTGAGGAGAAGCCTGGCAAGCTTTTGTTGTCCGGGCTGCAAAGCATGCAAGAACAGCTGGGGCAGATTGCGGGCGACGATGCGCCCGAGGCCTTGAGTCCGATCATGGTGCGGTACCTCATGACCATGGTTTTGCCAGCACACCCCGTGAAGACCATAGGTGAGAGCAAGTACCGTGAACTTAGGACGCTGTGCCAGGCCCTGGATGCTTTGCTTAAGGGCAAGGTGGACACTGCAGGCGACATCCTCATGCAGCGGTTCAAGTGCCAGGTGATGTCTTTGAGGGACAACTCCGAGAAGTTTGGGCGTTATCTTGAGCTTATCCCTGAGGACATGGTCGCGGTGAGTCCCGAGGAAACCTTCTTTGCACGCGACCTTGCTCACAAGACGGCTCGGGCAGATAAGCTCCTGGGCTAGGGACTCCGCGGGGGGGCGCTCAAGCCGATGAGCCTCCCTCAACGCGACCCCCTTTACAGCAGGCACCCGAAGACGGAGCCCCCGACGGTAGAGGATGGACCGAAGGAGGCGCCGCGATCACCGAGCAGATCTCCTTTGGCACGGAGGAAGGAGAGCCCTGCCAAGCCGACGAAGGAGAGGAAGGTCACCTTTCAGGAGGAAGTGCATACAGAGACGGTGCCAGGACGCATGAGGATGTCAGTGTCACAGGCCCGGAAGCAGACGCCGAGGATCGCCAACGAGACCAAGAAGGCCTGGAAGGACCGTGTGTTCAAGACGGCGAGAGGCGATACCTAGGGGTGTTGGCCCCTGGGGTGGATGATCCGGGTGTTGGCCCGTGGGTTTTTAACGGCGGCTCTAAGCCTGTGCCCTGTACAGAGCCCGGTGTTGGCCGGGTGACGGGCGAGAGGGCGCGCACCTACTTTCATACGCGTACCTTTGAAGAGCTGAGGAGAGTGATGCTTGAGGGATGTGATATTCATTGTGATCGAAGTTTTCATGGCCTCCTGCACGAAGGGTTACCGGATAGGCGTTGTGTGTTGCAATTGGGCATTACGCTGCTACAGCTCCTTTTGATTTCTCCACGAGATGGGGCCTTTGTGTCCGGAGTGTCTGCTCTGGTGAAAAATACAGCCACGCCAATTTTACGGGACAGGGATGTGCTACCGCTACCTATCCCACCCCTTGGGGCTGTGCTGCGCCTTTGCAGGCATCTTACGCGAAGAACATCCGGACTACTTGTGTGGGACCCTCGCAACTTGGCTCAGATGGGTAAGCAACAGTGTCGAAAGCTGGTGAAGGCCAGTTGTTTTCAGATGTGGAGGTTGCTTATGGTTGCCGTCATTAATGGTGAGTATTCGGATTGGTGTGGTGCGGGTTTTGCTTCATGTGACTTCCCCGGTAACACGTGCCAAGCTGAAGCCTTTTCCCATTTGGACGAGCTGTGCGAATACTTCTGCAGAAATCCCCTTTGTGAAAAGTGTGGTCTCGCCCCTGAGGAGGTTCTAAAGACCAAAGGTGTTGATTACACGGGGGACGAGATTCTTCATGCGCTTCCTTTGAAGGTGGGGGAGCTACTGCCGGGATTGCCGGCCGATGGCGTTGCGGGCACCCTCCAGGCCGCAGATGTGGCCGAGGGTGAGGTTGCAAAGTGGTTGTTAAACCCGATGCTTACATTGCTGCCTGAAGATAAGTGGCCCCACCCTATGCCGAGCGCATCAATGAACTGCAGCCGAGATGACTGGTGGGAGCTGGTTCCATTGTTGGTGCACAAGAATATTTTGAAGCCCATCCCGAAGTCAGAAATATTTCGTGTTCGCGGTTCTCTGTTGCTGAATGGTGCTTTTGCCGTGCCAAAGAAAGGCACTCCCGCTGAAGGTGAGGTTAGAGTCACCCGTCTCATCATGAACATGATCCCGAGCAATGCATTGCAGAGGCTGATGCCAGGAGATTTAGCCACCTTATCCAGTGCATCCGCATGGGTGGGGGCCCATCTACATCCAAACCAGGTGTTATTATGGTCGGGCGAAGACCAACGAGGAGCATATTATGCGTGGGCCTTACCTCCTGCCTGGCGAAAGTTTATGGCTTTCCGATGGCCGGTTCCAGGGTCTTTGGTGGGTTTGCCACATGAACCGGAGGTTTACGTTGCTGCTGCAGTTATCCCAATGGGATGGGTCAATGCTGTCGGGCTCTTCCAACATCTGCACAGGAGGCTCGGCCTTAGTAGCCCACCGAGTGGTGCGGGCCACAGCGCTGAGGTCGAGTGGAGAAGGGATCGTCCGATTCCAAGCTCCGCAGTTACAGAGAATGGTGGTTGGGTCCAGTTTTACCTTGATGACTTTGATTGTCCAGAGTTTGTCGATAAGAAGGTTTGGAAACGTATGCAAGGTACTCTTTCCACAGCGCACACAAATCAGAGGCAAGCCTACAAACATGTTGGTGTGGAAGTCTCAGAGGACAAATCACACGCGCGCGAGCCCAGAGTAGTGCGCATGGGAGCTGAGATTGATGGTGTGTCAGGTTTCATTGGTCCTCCTGCCGAGAAACTCCTTGAAACTGGGTGGTTGTGTCTTTGGCTTTTTTGTCAGGCCTGTGTTGGAGTTAAGCCTCTACTTATGGCTTTGGGCCGCCTGGTGAGGTGTTTCGAGTTTCGGCGCCCGCTTCTATCAATACTGGACAGGTGTTGGCCTCGTGATCAATTCCGTTTTCGGCGGAGACTAAATCACAGCACCGTACGGGAACTGCTGCGGGCGGTCTGCGCGTTTCCTCTGGCGGTCGGCTCGCTCCGCACTCCCTACTCGGGGTTAGTCACGTGCTCGGATGCATCAACGCAAGGTGGTGGCTTGTGTGCATCCGCGGGGCTCACTGATGAGGGGTTGCGCATGCTTGAGCAGCTGAACCGAGGCGATGCGCAACAGTTTAAGCCAGCTGGGGCCATGGATGGTAAAGGTGGTGTAGGGCCACGTATTCTGGCGGTGTCATTTTTCAATGACATAGGCTCTTTGATGGTGGCGTTGAGTCGTCTGCCTTGTCAAGTGGTGGGCTATGCAAGCTGTGAAACAAACAGGGACATGAAGCGAGTGATACGCAGGCGTTGGCCTGGTGTTATCGAGTTGGGTGCTGTTTCCAACATTGATGAGAAGTTGGTTGATCAGTTGCAAAGATCTTTTGGTAATCAATTGGACTTCGTTTTCGTAGGTGCAGGTTGCCCTTACCAACGTGACGTTCAAAAGACTGACTCCCACGAAGCCAAATTGTTTTCTGAGCTGATGCGGGTTATTGATCTCTTGAAGTCCTTCTTTTCTGTTCCAGTGCACTACTTCATCGAGAACGTTGCTTCGCTCAGCGAGTCAGATTATGATTGGTTCAATTCGACTTTGCAATCAAAGCCCATCCTCCTTGATTCAAAGTGGTTCACGTGGTGTCACCGTCCACGGGTTTTCTGGTGCTCATGGATGCCTGCTCCGCAACAAAACGAAGAGATGAGACATCAGAAATCTTATGTTGAGTGGGTCTTTCCTGTATGTCGAGACCGGGTGGAGAGCTGGTTAGAACAGGGTTGCACTTGGAATGGTCAGGATGATGGTTGGCTACCCTGCCTCACGCAGCCTCAAGCTCTTGTCAAACCTCCTGCCGAGGCGCTGGGACTTGGCGAGGCCTCAACCACAGCGGTGGAACGCTGGAAGGCGGATGCTTTTCGGCTGCCCGTGGCCAACTATGAGGTGAGGAATATGGTTTCAAGCTCGGAAGGTAAACTGAGACTGCCGTCTTTGCGCGAACGTGAGGTCTTGATGGGTTTCGATAAGGGTTACATTGAGGGTACACTGCCGCACAAGATGAGTCGCGAGGAGAAGTTTATGTTGGGCGGCAGAATGCTGGGAAAGACCCAATGTGTGCACGTGTTGGTTATGCTTGGTCACTCTTTATTGTCATTGTTCGGCAACACGACACCCCGTGACCATTACAAGATTGTCCAGCAGATTGATGTCGCTCCACCCTCATGGCTCCTTCACCCGCGTTTTGTTAAGAGATGCAGCAACACCCTCGAGGCTCAACAACTCGTTCAACATTTCTGTCGACAGGCTGAGAAGTCAGGATCTGATGTTAGGCTTGACGTGGGGATTCCTTTTCGAGCGAAAGCTTGGCCGAGAGCTGAAACTCATCACTTTTCCATTGGTCTGTTGCCCACGGTTATGCATGGAAGCATTCGGCACATATTAATGTTCTTGAACTTCAAGCGGTGCTTAATGGGCTCAAGCGGAGGTTGAGAAAGTCTGGAAATGGACGTTGCCGTATTTTGCATCTTATCGATAACCAGGTGGTCTGCTCCATAGTTGCCAAGGGACGAAGCAGCAGCTCACGACTGAAGCGAGGTTTGAAAAAGTTGAACTCGCTAGTGCTGGCTAGCGGGGTCATCTTAGCTGTTGGTTACGTGGCCACTGATTCGAATCCATCAGATATACCATCAAGATGGGGCGGACGCTCACGAGTACTCAAAAGGACCAAAGCAAACTGAGTCGGAAAGGGAAGAGCTTGAAGTCCCAGATGGTTTCTGAACAAATTCAGGGTCGCTATGCCAATGCAGTCATGCATGTGCTTTGGTTCCTCGGAGACATGAATGGCAACAACCTCTCCTGGGACAACTTCGATGAAGCCATCTGCTCTTGGGTTGAAATGGCCTACGCAGAAGGAGAGCATAAGACTCTGGTCAACTTTGCCCTGGCTGGGTTACAGTTCTTTCTGCCGGCTTGCGTTGGCAAGTTGAAGCAATCCTGGCGACTGGCAAAAATTTGGCAAAAGTTGGAGCCTCCCGTCAGGGTCCTACCAATCTCGCCGCTGCTTGTCGGCGCATTTGCAGGGGCTGCAATTCAGATGGGCTTCCTTGCTGAAGGGGCGTCGTTGCTTATCGGGTTTGATTGTATGTTAAGGTCTGGTGAGCTCTACAACTTACGTCGTAAAGACATTACGTTCTTGCGCGACAAGGCTGTGCTGTGTCTGGGAAAAAGCAAGTCTGGTAAACGAACAGGGGCTAATGAGCTCGTGGTTGTGGAGTCAGACTGCGCAGTCTTTTGGCTGCGTCAGGCGTGTCGTCGCCTAAGTCCTGTTGACAAGTTACTCTTCCGGGGCGAACGGTTCTTCAGAAAGCTCTTCTATGAGCTGATCGATATGCTACAGGTTCAAGGCCTTCTCACAGTTTACAGCCTGCGCCGTGGTGGAGCCACCTGGAGTTTCTTGCTTCATGGCAGCATGGAGAAGACGCTCCTTCGGGGACGTTGGTCTAGTACCTCCACTGCCCGCATCTACTTACAAGATGCGGCTGCAATGGTTAGTCATTTGCAGCTAAGCGGCTGGCAATTGTCTATGGCCAAGGACATGGCGCGTGTCTTGCGGAGCTCTGAAATGACCTGAAAGATCGTCCAGTTTGCTTGACGGCTAAAGCCAGGTTGGGCAAGTGAGGAGGAGTGCTGTCTGTGCTTTCTTTTGATGCTTCGGATCGATCTTATTCCTTTGCAGTAGCGGACGGTGCGGGCCGTTGTGGTGTCTCTGCGAGATTTGGTTGATTAGCTGCGTTTGCAGCGGAAGCATCTTTAAGTACAGGTTCTACAGGTTCCCTCCTCTGATCATTGTGCCAGAGTGCACATGATCAAAAGCCTTCTGGCGTGGCTGCTGGAAAAGGAGTGAGCGCTCCCAACATGGAACTATGTGTAGAGGCATCCGTAGGATAAACTCGTAGCAGAATGTATGTTGTGAGCAGTGACTTCAAGCGACGCCGCTCTCTTGTGTAGCTTTTGTGGCCCACCCTTCCCGCCCGGTGGATTCAGTTCCGACTGGAAGCGGTTGAGGAGGAGTGCTGTCTGTGCTTTC